TGGAACTTCAGATTCTAGTCCTCCTCCCGAATCTGGTTGCATTATTTACTCCTCAAGGAGTTGCTTCTTTATCTCTGTCCAGGATTCTGTGGGAATCTGTGGAGAAAGGCAAGAGTGGAATGTGCTTACCTTCCCTGGAACCAGAGCTTCTGTCCTTATTTTTATCATTGTGTCCTTTCTACTTACTTTGGTTTCAAATTCCTCTTTTATTTTTCCCTAGATTCTTGAGGTGAATAATTAGGTCACTTATTTCAAATGTTTCTTATTTTCTAAGGTAAATATATGAAGGAATGGTACATCAGGACTTGAGTCCTACTCTGCAGATTTCTTAGCTCCTTCCTCCATGTGTCAGCTTCATCTACCAGCTGTTGCAACATTGCCTGCCATCATAGCCACTCACAACATCTGGAGATAGAAAGGCGTCATCTTTTCTATCTCTTCTTTTTAGAGAAAGCAAACTTTTCCTGGAGACCATGGAACAGGTTTACCCTAATGTCTCATTGACCCAGATTGGGTGATATGCCCATTCCTAAATCAAAATTACTTGCAAGTAGAAAGGATTACCATGACTGGCTTAGGTTAATCATGTGGAGTTGAATGAATATTGATAAGTCAAACTGTAAAACCACTCAGTTGACAATACCGCTAATAGGCAGTGAATAAAAGCAGTCTAATGAAATAATCTAGTCCTTTTTTTTATTTAAAATTTTATTTATCTGTTTGAAAGAGAGAAAGCATGAGCACAAGCTGGGAGAGCAGCAGGCAGAGGGAGAAGCAGGCTCCCTACAGGGAGCCTGTTGTGGGGCTCAATCCCAAGACCCTGGGATCATGACCCAAGCCAAAGGCACCCTGGATTTTTTTTTAATTTTTATTATTTATTTATGATAGAGAGAGAGAGAGAGGCAGAGACACAGGCAGAGGGAGAAGCAGGCTCCATGCGCCGGGAGCCTGATGTGGGATTCGATCCCGGGTCTCCAGGATCGCGCCCGGGGCCAAAGGCAGGCGCTAAACCGCTGTGCCACCCAGGGATCCCCGGCACCCTGGATTAATCCAGTTCTGATGCAGCCCCATTGACCTGTCCAAATAGTGACATTCCACCTAGCATCCTGACAACTCCTTCTGCAACATATTGGAGCCAGCCAAGCTACATAGGGAAAGATAGCAGATGTTTACCTGGCTGATCATTAGCTCAGACACTAGAGTTCACATGTTATATAAGCTTCCAACCAATGTCATTGATCTATTAGTAAAAACGTGGTTATTTCCACCTTTTGGCTATTGTGAATAATACTGCTATGAACATGGATGTACAAGGATCTGTCTGAGTCCCTGCTTTTAGTTCTTTTTTTTTTAAAAAAATATTTTATTTATGTATTCATGAGAGACACATAGAGAGAGAGAGGCAGAGACACAGGCACAGGGAGAAGCAGGCTACATGCAGAGAGTCCGGACGTGGGACTAGGTCCCCCGTCTCCAGGATCATGCCCTGGGGCCAAAGGCAGGGGCCAAACCACTGAGCCACCGATGGATTCCCCCTCTCCTGCCCCCGCTTTTAGTTCTTTTGGATGATATACTGAGGAGTGGAATTGCTGAATCATTTGGTAATTCTATATTCAGCTTTTTGAAGAGCCATCAAACTGTTTTCCATAGTGGCTACATCATTTTACATTCCCATCAGCAATGCACAAGTGTTCCGATTTCTCCACATCCTTGCCAGCATTTGTTATCTTTTATATTTTTAATCAAAGCTATCCTAATGTGTATGAGGGGATATCTTATTTTGGTTTTAATTTGTATTTCCCTAATGATTAGTGTTGTTGAACATCTTTTCCTGTACTTATTGGCCATTTGTATTTCTTCTTTGGAGAAATATCTATTCATGTCCTTTGCCCATTTTTGAAATAGATTGTTTAGGGGTTTTGTTGTTATCATTGAGCTGTGGGAGTTCTTTATATATTGTGGATATTGATACCTTATCAGATACGTAGTTTGCAAATATTTTCATTCCACAAGTATTTAAGTGCCTATTGGAGGTCAGGTACTGTGACAGATGCTTCAGAGATAGCAGTGAATGAGTCACTTCATGCTTTCAAGAAACATAAAATAGTGGCATCAACACAGAAGCAGATATAAGTACCCATTTGGTGGGGTAAACACAATTCTTCTCAAATATGCAAAGAAAAATGGAGCTAATTTTTTATAACTGATATTTTTGCTTCTTGAATTCCCGCCCCATTGTATGGGTGGTGGTGGTGAAAGAATTTAATTATTCAGTCCATTTTAAGTTCAACTCCCTAAATGGCTATTTCTTGTTCTGCCCTTTTCTGTCATCTGGATTTCTGGGGAGGGGGTTTATATTCACTTAGGTGAGATGGTGCTATGGATTGGATCTCAGATGGGCTTACTATCCTTCTTTTCTAGTCTCTTGTCTTCACAAGTGGTCTGCCGTTGTGCTTGCTCACCAAACTGTAGCAACCAGTAACTTGTTCTTTTGGCTAGGCTGGAGGCCAATATCTTTTCCTTCATTTGTCATCTCCACATCGGTTCCAGCCACCCTCTAAGGTGTGGCTGAGACTCCCAGCTGATTGTGGGCCTTCTGGGTCCTGCAGCTCTTGGCTATAAGATGCACAAAGTTACTTTGTGCAGTGGTCCCAACTCTCCAGTTGATGCAATCAGCTCTTTTCCAGGGTCCCCATTGAACATGGAGAACTGCTAAAGATCTCCTAAATCATATGTTAGCTGGTAGGAGCCCTTTGCTTAACACTGCATTGCCATTTTTATTGTAGTCCAGTGTTGGAGAACAAGAAGTCTGTTCAGCAATTGCTCCCTCAATGCACTCAATAGCAAGTTGGCCCAGCCTTCTCCCCTTTCAAATTCTCTCCCAACCCCCTCTGGCATTTATCTAGGCATTGGGTGCAAAGGTAAAAGAACACCTGTGTCTGACCTTCTCTTTGCCTCACCATTTCCAGGGGACAGGAGAGCTTTTTCATTTTTTCCTTTTGCTATCTCATGACTTTTTTTTTTAAAGATATTTATTTATTTATTTATTTATTATTTATTTATTTATTTATGAGAGACACACGGGGCGGGGGTGGGGGCAGAGACACAGGCAGAGGGAGAAGCAGAGGAAGAAGCAGGCTCCCTGCAAGAAGCCCAATGCGGCACTCAATCCTGGAACTCCAAGATCACACCCTGAGCTGAAGACAGAGGCTCAGCCACTGAGCCACCCAGGCGTCCTGCTATCTCAAGACATTTCTTCCCAAAGTATCATTCATCCTCCCCCTCTTCCTTGGAGCCATATATGCAAGTTGGTATTTTAAAAACATTTTGTGTGATAAATGTAATACCAGTATGTAATGAGTAGAAGAGTGTGGTAGTGGTCCCTAACCTACTCTTGGAGGGCTAGGGTGGGGCTTCCTAGAAGAAGTGGCATCTGAGCTAAAACACAAAGGAGTTAAGTGCAGAAGCTGGTAAGAGTTCAAAAGGAACACATGCAAAAGCCTGGAGGCAGAACTTCGATGATTCAGAATGGCTTTGGCATAGAGCATGAAGGATGCAATGGCAAGAGACAAAGCTGAAACGATAAGCTGGAAAAAAATGAAAAAAAAAATGAAACGGTAAGCTGTGATCAGATCACACAAAGCCTCAAAAGCTTTGTTTAGGAGTTAACTTTATATTAAAAGCAATGGAAAGTCTATGTTTTGAACAAGAAAGGGACATGATCAAATGCATGCTTTTGAAAGATCATTCTGGTTGAAAGAAATGGATGAATATGAAGAAGTCAAAGCTAAGGGCCATTTTGTTTCCCCTCACTTAGGGGATTACCTACCATCTCAAATTTTATAAAGATAACATTAGAATAGTATAGAGTTGGAGGGTTAGTCACATCACCATACTTAAATGTTGAGAGATGAGGGATAATAACTGATAGCAGCCCAGGTCCTGAATGGTAAGGGACTAGCGAGACCCTTCTTTCATTCTGAGGAGGGGAAATAATGGGTGAGGTTAGCAAATTTGATAGCAGGAGGTTGTAAGTTATCTTTTGGGGTTTCTTTGCCCTGTAAACAGGAGGCAAAATCAGCCATTTTCCCATGAAGAGGAAGATGGCCAAGGAGTATGGCAAACACTGTTGGGTGACCCAATGTCATTGACAAAACCCACCCGCCCTGCTGCTTTCCCTCTAGAGGTTGAAAACCCGTGCTTTACCAGACACATTTGCAACAAGGACACATAAGCAAAATTTTCTTGGAAAATTCTAGAGTTTCTTGGAAAGCTTTTACTTTTCCTAGCAAAGGAGATGGCTGTGGCTGAAGCTCCTTTTCCTCTTTCTTGACTTGACCCTGGAGGTCATTCCTGGAGCTGGGTCAGCTCTCTTGCCTATCTGAGAAAATAAGCATGAGGGAAAGGCCAAAAGAAGGGCAGAGACCACATCTAGACCAGCCATTGTCCAGCTGCTGATTCACAGCCAGCAGCAACTCACCTCCAGATTTCTGGTTACAAAGCCTTACCTGTTTAAACCATCATAGTGGATTTTGCATCCAGAAACATTCCCAATACAGGAGGGTTTAAGGGCAGTAACAAATACATGATCTGGCCTCCAAAAGAATGAGAGGTAATGAGGGAACATAGGATTATACCTAATTATTAAAGGCCAAGATGAAGTGAAATTCATAAAAATACAAATTTCATTGGAAAGTGTTTGCTATCTGTGGAAATCAATCTAATGGAGGTACTAATATCATGCTAATTTTAAAAATCAAGGTTAGTCCAAGTCATATTAAATTTCCATTTAAATGAACTAGCATTAGGAGATCTATGTAAGTGTACGATTAACTCCCAGTAACACAAAAACACCTTTCAAAGTTTTGTCATGTACTTAGATGATATGACTCACACCACCTTCTGGGGGAGAAACAGATTATTCACAACGTAGATAACACAATCTCTTAAGGTTTATGGCAGCACCAACTGAAGACAACTTCCCTCAGAACACTCCAGGTTGTCATTTTATTCAAATAGTAACAAGAAACTCTGTCTTTCCATAATCATGCAATAAATCACAATACTTGTGTCTGAGGCAGTAGCTGCTTTCATAGATGGCTTGTTCCTTTCTTTAATTACAAAGAGAATGAGCCCAAATAAAGATTCTCACAATTTTAATAAATGTAAATATACAAAACCCAATATATATTCATATTCACTAGAGCTACAAAGTATAATCACTATCAGACAATTCTATAATCACAATTTACATTCACCTCTTCCCTTACCAATCTTATATTATCAATATTCTAAGTAGAGCACAGTAATCCCGTATTTGTTTCTGGAGTTATTCTCAGCACTAGATATGGTTAGATTTTCTGAAAGTACAATATTTATACTCCTCATCAAAGAAGTTCACTATGAGGCCCCTCTTCCCTTCTCCTAAGGATTTCCATTTTTGATGTTTGCTTCCATATTGGCTAACTGTGGCACCACAGAAAACATTATGAGGCATATATTCTTATAATACAGTTTTTATCAAGAATCCCTAGATTCTTGGAACATTATTTGTATACTGTCATGATAATTTTAATAACATACAAGTCATTTTATTTTTGCACAGGAAATCTGACTGACATGGGCAAAGTTCAGTGAACTCTTCAAACTGAACTTTAGTAATTTTGTACAAGGGCATCAAAACCCAGGGGTTCAGGTCTTGATAGTTTGTCGAGGGACAAACCTTAAGAATGCACATGACTCTGAAAAGGTTCTCTTGTGGTGCTTGAAACGTGCTCACATCTGATGTATAGCAGAAAAGGGGACTTGAACACTGGAGGAGAGCTGTTAGCTGGTAAGGGTTTCCTTTCGCACATACGCTGTGCTGCACCTCTCCGTTACAGGCCACGTTTGCTCGTATTCCATCAGTCTTATGTGAACTGTCTTTTCTTTATCTCTTTTTCATTTTAAGATGATCACGAATGTTATATAAGCACCCATAGATAGCCCTGTTTATTATAACATTCCTTACATTTATGCCACTCCCTAAGACATGCAGAGCCAATCTGCTGTATTCACTGAGTTATTTTCAAATTACATTGTAGAGATTATTTTTTGGGGGGGGGAGACGCCTGGGTGAGTTATTTTCAAATTACACTGAGTTATTTTCAAATTACATTGTAGAGATTATTTTTGGGGGGGGGGGGGAGACGCCTGGGTGGCTTAGCAGTTGAGTCTGCCTTTGGCTCAGGGCATGATCCTGGGTCCAGGGACCGAGTCCCACATCAGGCTCCCAGCAAGGAGTCTGCTTCTGCCTCTGTGTTTCTGCCTCTCTCTGTGTGTCTCTCATGAATAACTAAATAAAATCTTTAAAAACATTTTTTTCTACATAGAATATTACTTAGAAGGTGCCTGAGTGGCTCAGTAAGTTAGGTGTCTGACTTTTGATTTTGGCTCAGGTCATGATCTCAGGGGTGTGGGGTCAAGTACCACACCGGGCTTCTTGCTCAGTGGGGAGTCTGCTTGAAATTCTCTCTCCTTCTGCCCTCCCCCCTGCCACACACACCACTCTCTCTGTAAAAATAAATAAATCTTAAAAAACAAAAAAAAAACTTTACTTAGTATCAGTAACGTGTAAGCTTTTGTGAATTTTTGTAAGAGAGTAGGTCCCTTTACTCTTCTTCCACAGTGACCCTGGACATTTCAGCCCAGGTCTGAAGGTACACATTCTTTTGGGCCTCCTCAATCCTATTCTCATATTTTGAATCTAGTAACAAAAAACAAATGGTAGGGGTGCCTGGGTGGTTCAGTCAGTTAAGTGTCTGCCTTTGGCTTGGGTCATGATCCCAGCCTCCTGGGATCAAGCCCTGCATGGGACTTCCTGCTCAGTGTGGAGCCTGCTTCTCCCTCTCCCTCTGCCCACAGCTCTCCTGCTTGTGCTCTCTCACTCTCTTTAAAACAAACAAACACATGGTAAAAATTTCAAAAATTCTAATCTTTGGTCCAAGAATCCCAATGCTTGAGTTATGGAATTGAGGAAAACACTTATTTTTATACTGAGGAACTTACACATTCCTTCTCAACAGGGAAATATATTTGTCCAAAAAGAAATGTACTAGTTCATGACTTGTGTTAGTAATGAAAATAGAACATGTTTGAGAATGTCTTTTCAAGAGCTACCCTAGGGATGGAAATCTGAATTAAGCTGTAGAATCTCAAACATTTGAATTGACACTGTATTGATAAAGCAGGAGAGCAAACAACATTGACAGAAGATATTTTACATTCTCTCCTGTAGCTTTTATGACTTTTGAAAGCAAACTAGTGCCCACCAGAACTACGGAAATACTAAAGGAGTGTTCGTGCTTTGTGTCTTCTCTTGCTGAAAAAGCTCTGAGCAAATGCTTTGATTCCCTTACAACACTGATGGGACTTTTTCTTTCATGTGTCTCTTTCTATGTCTGAGAAGATTTGAGCTCTGACTAAAGGCTTTCCCACATTCATGACACTTGTAGGGTTTCTCTCCAGTGTGTGTTCTTCGATGCTGAATCAGGACGGCACTTCGGCTGAAAGCCTTTGCGCACACGTCACATGTGTAGGGTTTCTCCCCACTGTGGATTCTATGATGGAGGATGAGGGCTGAGCTCTGACTAAAGACTTTGCCACATTCATCACACTTGTGTTGCTTCTTCCCAAAAGGGTTTCTCTGTCTTCTTGCAAACTTGTCATCTTGTTCATAGGTTCTTCGATATGTGCAACTCTGAGGAGCGTCCATAAGAAGGGTGTTGGAAACAGTGTAATGCAGTTCCATGGCTGGAGAAGTCTTCTGCCTCAAAGCTGCATTCACATTTAGAGTTTTTGTGTCTTTAGCTGAAATAATACACAGAAAAGCAATGTCACCAGTTCTCTGTACAGAAAGAAAGAAAGGGGGGCACCTGGGTGGCTCAGTGGTTGAGGATTTCCCTTTGTCTGCCGTTGGCTCTGGTTGTGATCCCGGGGGGTCCTGGAATCAAGTCCTGCAACAGGCTCCCCATGGGGAACCTGCTTCTCCCTCTCCCTATGTCTCTGTATATCTCTCATGAATAAATAAATAAAATCTTAAAAAAAAAGAAAGAAAGGCAAATAGAATGACACAAAGAAAATCTATATGGATTATTCACTGGCTAGCATGTTTGTAAAACAGCATCACAATGTAGAGGATGGAGATGGTAAGTCAGAAAATATTGAGAAGACCAAAAGACAAAAAAGGGAAAGATTTATATAGTGAGGAGACAGTCAACTATAAAGTTGAAAAGTTCCACACAAAAGGTAGGATGGTAAGTAGAGGTACAAAGATGTATCAGAGACTGAAGAAAATCTGGAAGAAATGGGACTAAAAGATGAGGAATTATGGGAGAAGCAGAGAAGCAACTGAAGGAGAGGAGCCAGATGGGGCAGCAGGTAGTAATTAAATAAGACTTAGTACGAGCATCAATAAAAAAAATTTAATAATGATAAATGAAATGAAGAAAGCCAAAGGGTCAAAAATGAATATGGAAAATAAGGTCAGAAAATACAAATTAGGGGGGTGGGGGGAGGATTATAGACTAGGATAACTGACACGTCAAAACATCAAGGGTAGCACAAAGTACTCACTTATGAAAAAGCCCTACCCTTAAATGTATTTTATAGTATTAGTTGACTGCCATAGTTACTGGTGTAAATAGAAGTCATTTTGTAAATGGTAAAGACTCTGTTACAAATTCTAAGGTGACTCCAACATCTGGTCCCCACCATCAAAATTCAAGGATGTCCACTTTAGCCACTTTTATTCAACATTGTACTGGAAGCCCTAGCCACAGCACTCAGACAACATAAAGAAATAAAAGGCTCCAAATTGGTAAGGGAGAAGTAAAACTCTCACTATTTGCAGATGACATGATACTGTATCTAGAAAACTCTAAAGACTCCACCAAAAAACTATCAGAACTCATAAATGAATTCAGTAAAGTTGCAAGATACAAAATCAATGTACAGAAATCTGTTCCTATACACTAATAATGAAGCAGAAAGTGAAATTAAGAAAATAATCCCACTTACAATTGCACCAAAACCAATAAAAGATCTAGCAATAAATTTAACCAAAGAGGTGAAGGACTTCTATTCTGAAAACTATAAAACACTCATGAAAGAAATTCAAGACAACGCAAAGACATGGGAAGATATTCCATGTTTATGGATTGGAAGAACAAACGTTGTTAAAAATGTCTATACTCCCCAGTGCAATCTACAGACCTAATATAATCCCTGTCAAAATACCAACAGCATTTTTCACAGAACTAGAACAATCCTAAAATTTCTTTTTTTTTAAGATTTTATTTATTTATTCATGAGAGACAGAGAGAGAGAGACAGAGACAGACACAGGCAGAGGGAGAAGCAGGCTCCATGCAGGGAGCCCGACGTCGGACTCGATTCCAGATCTCCTGGACTGAAGGCGGTGCTAAACCACTGAGCTACCTGGGCTGCCCCAATCCTAAAATTTCTACGGAACCACAAAAGACCTTTAATAGCTAAAGCAATCTTGAAAAAGAAAAACATATCTTGAGTATCACAATCCCAGATTTCACGTTATGTTACAAAATGACAGTAATTAAAACAGTATGGTACTGGCACAAAGATAAACATATAGATCAGTGAACGAAAATAGAAAACCCAAAAATAAACCTATAATTTTATGGTCAATTAATCTTCAACAAAGGAGGAATGAATACATAATGGGAAAAGGACAGTCTCTTCAACAAAGTGTTGGGAAAACTGGACAGCTACACCCAAAAGAAATAATCTGGACTACTTTTTTTTTTTTTTTAAGATTTTATGTATTTATTTGACAGAGAGAGCATGCGCTCACAAGCAGGAGTGGCAGCAGAAGGAGAGGGAGAAACAGACTCCCCGCTGAGCAGGAACCCCCACCCCCCGCCCCCATATGGAGCTCAATCCCAGGACCCTGGGACCATGACCTGAACCAAAGGCAGATACTTAACTGACTGAGCCACCCAGAAGCCCCTGGGCCATTTTCTTACATCATTTACAAAAATAAACTCAAAATGGATTAAAGACCTAAACATGAGACCTGAAACCATAAAAATCCTTGAAGAGGCAGCCCGGGTGGCTCAGCGGTTTAGAGCCACCTTCAGCCTGGGGCCTGATCCTGGAGACGGAGGAACAAGTCCCACATCAGGCTACGCATGGAGCCTGCTTCTCCCTCTGCCTCTCTCTCTCTCTCTCTCTGTGTGTGTCTTTCATGAATAAGTAAAATCTTTTTTAAAAAAATCCTTGAAGAGAACAAAGGCAATAATCTGACATTGGCCATAGCAACATTTTTCTAGATGTGTCTCTTGAGGCAAGGGAAACAAAGCAAAAATAAACTATTGGGACTACATAAAAATAAAAATTTCTGCGCAGCAAAGGAAACAACCAATAAAAGTAAAAGGCAACCTACTGAATGGGATAAGATATTTGCAAATTTATTTATCCAATAAAGGGTTAGTTAGCATCCAAAATACATAAAGAATTTACATAACTCAAGACCCAGAAAACAAATAATCCAATTTAAAAATGAGAAGACAAGAATAGATATTTCTCCAAAGTAGACATATAGATGGCCAACACACACATGCAAAGATGCTTAACATCACTTGTCATCAGGGAAATACAAACCAAGACTACGATGAGAGAACCTCACACCTGTCAGAATGGCTAAACTAAAAAATGCAAGAAACAAGTGTTAGTGAAGATGTAGAGACAAAGGAATGCTCTTGCACTGTTGGTAGGAATGCAAATTGGTGCAGCCACTGTGGAAAATAGTATGGAAGTTCCTCAAAAAGTTAAAAAGAGAACTACCCCATGATCCAGTAATGGCACTAACTAGAAGATATTTATCCCCCACCAAGCACAAAAACACTAATTCAGAGGGATATATGCACCCTTATGTTAATAGCATTAATTATAGTAGCCAAACTATGGAAGCAGCTCAAGCGTTCATCTATAGATGAGCGGATAAAGAAAATGTGGTATAAATACACAATATTTATTATGTAATGTGTGGAATATTATTCAGCCATAAAAAATAATTAAATCTTGCCATTTGCATCAACATGGATAAAGCTAGAGAGTATTATGCTAAGTGAAATAAGTCAGCCAGAGGAAAACAAATACCATATGATTTCACTCATGTGTGGAATTTAAGAAACAAAATAAATTGAGCAAAGGGAAAAAAAGGGGGGGGGCAAACCAAGAAACAGACTCTTAATTACAGAGAACAAACTGCTGATTACCAGATGGCAGGGGGGTGGGGGGCTAAGGGAAAAAAGGGATGGGGATTAAAGTGTACGGTTATCATGATGAAAAAAATAAAATTAAAAAACAAAACAAATTTAAGAGAGTCCTCTGTGAGGACATTTGGAGGTAGAATGTTGTTATTGTCAACACTGGGATCCCAAGACCTGGCTTTGAGGCTGATAACTTTTGCAATTACCACAACAAAAAGCTACCAAGGCAGGGATGGTTCCCTCTTGATCCTGATGGAGTATGAAAATACTTTCATTTCTCTCTTAGCTAAGCCAAGACAACTGCTAGACTAGGGGTGTTAAGTGCCTCTACGAGCCTCTTGTCAACAAACAAATATTTTCTATGTTTTTGTATTTTGATTTTCCTATATTTTCTTATCAAAATCACCTTGTAAAAACTCTAACCTTACTTAGCTGATCGACCCCTGTGGAACATGGAAGCAGTGCTGGGGGGAGAAGAGGAGATCCTTCCAAGTAGGGTTTCCCGTCTTCATTTCTGACTCCCATTTTATCCAGCATGATCATCTAGAAGGAAGGCCTCTGCTCAAATGTCATTCATCAAAGAAGCCTTCTCCACCACTTTAGTTAATAAGACTGTGTCCCTACCTTATTTAGTAAGACCCGTCTCCCTTATTTTGCTCTGCTTTTTTTCCCACAGCCTTTATTTTTTTAGTATCTGCAACAAAAGAACAGAGTGCTAAGCCAGCCATTTTGCAGCACTTTTGCAAAAAGTACTGCAAGCAGCAGCAGAGGCCAGTTTAGGATGTGAGAGAGTAGAGAAAAATATTCAAGTCACTATGAGAGGGCAGTCATCTTGGCAGAAATATGGTGATTTGAATACTAGATGCCACTAGTAACCAAGCAAATAGCTATACAGAAAATGATGACGTGGACTAGTGGTCTGTAGACTGTGACTTTCGCCAAGCCTGTGGGCTGATTCTACTTGCTCTTGCTTCAGTCAGTGTAGCTGTGTTTTCATCTGTTTTATATACTGGAACTCCATGTAAAATATCATGCTTCTTTAAAAAAGGCTGAAAAATCCCCATGGACATGATGCCAAGGATTTAAAAATCTGAAAGATATTATAAGAGAGTCTGGAAAAGAAACAAGAACAAAATCCTGAGGACAATCATTAGCACAACATTTAATAGTGGAAGTCTGCACAGTGATGAGGAGGCAGGAGGGGAGATTTGAGACCTCTTGCAGAAAGCAGCTGAGATGTGTGTGGTGGGCTGAGAGGCCACCTTTGCCCCCACCATGAACGGAATCCTGCCCCTCACCTTTTCGAATTGAGTGACACTCCCCTGATGCCAATGGCAGCTGCTTCTTTACAGGCTTGATCTGGCTACTTGGTGACTCCTCCTGAGTGATTTCCCAAGATGTCAGCTTCTCTGCAAGCATGTCCTCACTTTGTCCAAAAAAGACCTAGAAGCAGGTAGGTATAACAGAGACTGAAGAAGGGAATCATGTTGGGGATAAAATAATAGAGATGGGCGCTTGGTGGCTCAGTTGGTTAAGCCCCTGCCTTGGCTCAGGTGGTGATCCTGGGGTCCTGGGATCAGCTGTATCCAGCTCCCTGCTCAGCTGGGAGCCTGCTTCTCCCTCTCCCTCAGTCGCTCCCCCTGGTTGTGAGCACATGCTTGCGCACACTCTCTCTTTCTCTCTCAAATAAATAAATAAAATTTTTAAAACAAAACAAAATAAAATAATAGAGAAGAAACTACATAGAAAACGTCCTGGGATACAGAAAAAGGGAGGAAGAAAGCAGAGCCACATTCTATGAGTATATTTACCACCCTACGTGGTTAGCGAGTAGGAGTATAATTTGAGAACTCTACCTGCAGTCATGCCCCAGAGCTCCTGACTCAACCTGGTCACTCATCCCCACAAGATGCCTTTTTACCTGCTCAGTTGGCCCATCAAGCTCTTTTTCCAGCTCCTCCAGCATAGTCACGGCTTCCTCTCCATTTTCAGGCTGGTACTCTCGAAGCCAGGCCTGCAGCTCCTCAGGCAGGATAGCCAGGAACTGCTCCAGCACCAGCAGCTCCAGGATCTGCTCCTTGGTATTCACCTCTGGCCTCAGCCACTGATGGCAAAGTTCCCGGAGCTGGATCAGAGCCTCCCGGGGCCCAGGGGACTCCTGGTAGCCAAACTGCCTGAACCGCTGGCGGAAGGTCTCTGGGCAGGAGCTGCTTCTCCAGGGGAGGCTGGAGTTCAGATCACAGGTCTGCTCTTCCTTTTCCATCTTCACTATCAAAATGCTGTCAGACTCCTCTGAAGTTTGTAGAAAGAGTGATGACTTTCTCAGCTTTAAAGACATTTGGACTGGGAACAGATAGATAGGTTTTAATCTTCAAGAAGGTAAAGTTTTCCTTAAGTATGATGAAAGAAACAAGTGGGAACAAGACACAGACAAATGTTTCCTTAGAACAATACATCTAAGAAATGGAAGACTGTACAGAAAGCACTGCCCTTAATCTTAGTATAAAGCAAGCTTTCAAAGAATACTTCCTTAAGAAATCGAAGAGCTAAGATGCATTAATTTACATGCATGAGTAATTCCCAATTTATTCTGTAAATCATGCACACGAGGCTGACTATCATAGTAAGAGATCATCCAAGATTGCGCAGGAACTCCAGGAGATCAGGAGTAAAGGAAGCTTGAGAAAAATTGACTCTGGGGCAGGCTCAAAGAGCCAATTAATTTTTTTGCTAGCCTGATGCAAAGAGTGCTAAGAAATAGCACTCATAAGAGAAGTACTTTCATGTGGATTTTTTCAATGCTTATTATTAATCAGTATTAATATAACATTAAGTCTAATACTATCAAATAGTATTAAGACAATACTATTTTGATAGTAACCATTCAAAAGAAAAAGTAATTGCATATTCCTCCTTCTTAATGTGCTTCCATTTATTTCATATTTACTTCTACTTCCAAATCCATGACATTTTTATTATTTATCTCTCTCTACCATAGAATATTTAGAGTGTTTCTAATTTTTACTGTCATAAGTAATGCTGGGAAGCACATTTTCAGGAATATATTCTTTTTCTCCAACTTATTCAAGGATATCCCAAGGACTTGGCTTGTTGGGCCCAAAGGAGAGTGGCAAATATATTGCTATGTATTATCAAATGAATTACACAGAAAATTTTTTAACAATCCACAATGCCAAAGCAACATGGTGGTGAAGCAGGGCAACAATCTCCCTAAGTATCATTAGCTTGTTAGCAGAAAGGGAGTAGCAAGACATTTTTAGCACCATTTTAGTATAAGCATCATTGATAACTGATGGCTAATTAAAAAATCTTGTATGTGCCCGTTTTTCCTCTTTATGCACTCTGCCATCCCCCACCCCAACTTCATCAAGTGCTGTTCCAGGCACCAAAGATACAGCAGTGACCTGAACAAAGCCTATGGCTCCTTAAAGCTTATATTCGAAGAGAGTCCACAGTGTTATCTATCCATCAATGATACGACGGTGATTGCAATGCAGCAAACGATAACAAACGACACAGGGAACTTACTACGCTCTAGTCTCAGCACCTTGTTTCAATCCTGTCAAAAGCCCCGTACGGTCAAGCCCCGTACGGTCACATTCCTGCCCGCGATGCGGATGAGGACCCTACTAGGCCAGCTCCGGCAGCGCGAGCACCGGCAGCGCGAGCACCGGCAGCGCGAGCACCGGCAGCGCGAGCACCGGCAAGGGGCGGGGCTGGGGGCTGAGTCCCCGCCAACCGCTGCCCGCGGCGCGGCGCGGTCGAGAGGCTGCCGCGGGCCCCGTGCCCGGATGAGACTCTGGGGTCGAGGCGGAGCAGCAGGAAGGGTTCGAGGCCCTGAGTCTGGAAGCCGCTGGGGGTGGGGGGGGTTACATCGGGACCGTAAACTAAAAGCAGACTCTGAAGTCGCGGAGTGGCGGCGGGACGCGCTCTGCCGCTTCAGCACCAGCCGCCCACACGCGCCGCCCGCACACCTGCTCTCGGCGCCTGCCAAGACGCGGGCGCACCGAACCCCCACACCGCAGCCGGGCCAGGGGCGACGAGCGCCGACGCGGGGGTCCGCCCGCACAGGGCCCACTCCTCCAAAGCCCCTCCTCCGCTGGGCCGGCTCGCGGAGCGCTGGCGCCCGGGGGCCCCCGAGGGTCCCCGAGGGTCCCCGAGGGTCCCGGGCCCGCGAGACTGCGGGCGGCGCCGAGCGCTGGGGAGCGCGCGCCGGCGGGGGCCCGGCGGGTGCGGCGCAGCCGGGGGCCGGCAGGGGTCGGGGCCGGCCTAAAGGGGGCGTGCGCGGAGGGAGGAGCCGGGCGGGGCCCGGGGCCGCGGCCACCTCCTCCCACCCCCGTGGGGGGGCGCTTCTCCCCGAGGCCTGCGGGCTCGCAAGAGGACTCGGCTCTCACCTCCCTACCGGGAAGAGCGACCCCGCGTCCTCCGGAAGACGCCGGGGAAGCGCCCGATCCGGAGCTGCTTCCGGTCCTCGAGGTGGGTTGGCGGCCGGCGGGGGATGGGCGCGCGGTTGCCATGGAGACGAGCCGCCGCCGCGGGCTCCGGCGTAAGCGGAAGGCGGGGACCCCGGCGGGTGGGCGTGCGGCCCCTCGGCGCCCCTGTCGCCGGAGACCCGCGCTGTCATTTCTCAGAGTCCTTCCACTTAGGCTATTCCAGTTACTCTTTCCCTTGACTCAGCAAGGTTATTCCCATTTTGCAAGAACGCCTCAAAGTTTCGTGACTTGCCCAACATCACGGAGGGGAAAGACTCCCGGGCTTGCTTCTGCCTTTGCGCGCAGTTTGCCTCTGATGGCATCGGCGCTGCTGGAGTTCTGCTCCAAATAGTGCTGTTTTAAGGAACAGGTTTGACCCCCGCCTCTGCCCCACGCTTACACAGGAGAACCTAATGGCCCTTGAAAAGGTGACAGCCCACCTACACACATATTTTGGCATATAAACATATATATATATATATGTTTTTTACCCTCAGATATCATAAGTAAATGTAAAAATAAATTTGAAGCCAAATGGGGCTTCAAGGCCACAACCCCACATACTGGCTTCCTCTTCCACCCCCTCTCTATAGGAATTCTTGGAAAATGTATTTATGGGGGGAAGTGGGGAATTAGGAAGACAACGGAGATGCTTAAAAACCACTTGCTAATTAACAACAAGGCGCGGGGTGTGTGTGTGTGTGCCCCCCCCCCCCCGGAAGCCCTGGGTATGACCTCTCCCCTCAAAAAACTATGTCAGTTCTGGAGTCTGAGATGGAGAAGAGGCTACTTTATTCTGTCTATATCAGACCTAGAGGGTTAGGGGAGAAACTTGTATCTTAACCTACCATGACATTAAATTTGAAGAAATTTTTGCGTCAATAGGGGAAAACAGGATAAGATTTTTTGTTGAGGCAGCTGCAAACACGACCAGCAAGATAGCAGCTGAAAAGTGCAGAGGAGAACATGTTTACTCCGATAGTAGACGGGTTGATTTAGTCAAGGCAATGAAGCATCTGAAACAAGAGCAGTCAATGGCTGATAGTGGTGTGAAGTCATAGCAGGTGTTTTAAGGAGAAAATGGACAATAGTTGAAAGTTGCAAGGTGAGTAAGGAACTGTGAAAAGACGTGGGATTTGGCAAGAGATCAGGAGTGAATTCATGGGTTTGGATTCCACCAGATATGCAGATCATCCCAAAAGCAGACGTAAAAGAGTACTTATGAAAGTTCCACGCATAAAGGACAGGTTTTGTTTGGTTTTTTATTTTTTTGATTTTGAGGGTAGAGTGAAAAATTTGAAGGAACAAGGTCCTAGTAGACCAGATGCATGTTACTCACTGAGAATTGAAATGTAAGATACAAATTCTTTTTGGGAACTGATAGACTAAGAAGAAGGGTATGTGAATTGACCATTGTAAGCTACATGGCAGATGTTCTGATGGAGCTACCTACAGGATGCTATAATAGTACAAAGAAAGAAAGTGCTGGGGCTGGGGGAAGGGATGGAGAGAGTGGGACTGGGATTGATGGGGAGAGCTGAGTGTCATGTCCAAACCGAGGGGACAGTACAGAAATTTTATATTTGCTGGGACTGAAGGATGGTAAGCCATGAGAGGGTAAGGGTAAGGATGAAGAAATAAGTAGTCTTAAAAGATGTGGCAGGCCAGGTAAAAGGCTATGAACTGAAATTTGAAACAGTATCTTGAATAAGTGGCACAAGCTGATCAACAGTTCAGATAGAGCTCTGTGATGGCAATGTGAAGGATGGATTTGGAAGGAGACCAGACTCAAGCAGGGTGACCAGCTCTGAAGCTCTTGCAAATATCCGGACTGTAGCTGTTAGAGATCTGAACTAGTGCAGAGGGAGTGAGGATGGAGGCATATTCAGGAAACATTTAGGTTGCCAATGCTTGCTTAGATGGTAGACTGACAGATGATTGGATAGTGTATCACTTAGGGAAGTTTTTTAAAAAAACAGTATGAGCAGGTTTGACAGTAGGTTGTGTGGACATTTGAGGAGAGTTTTCAGTAGATTGAATCTGAGGCTGAATAATAAATGATAGTTAATACCTTCCCCATAATTGGACATTTTATGAGATTATGTAAAAGTAAATATCAAACATGCTCTATATCTCTATACCTTATACCCTATATAAGCATATTAAACTTCCTATGAATTTCATAAGCCGCTTACTAATGCAGCGAAAGAAGAGGGCACTCTATAACGATATTATAGAGATAGTCACTCTTCTACCTTTTCTTCTTCATCGCTATATATTTTTAAAGATTTTAAGTAATCTCTACACCCAACATGGGGCTCAGACTCACAAACCCAAGATCAAGGGTTGCATGCTCCATGGATTGAGCCAGCCAGGCACCCTAATCACTCTGTTTCTTTATCCCAACATATTTGTGCTTCATCTGGTTAGAAACTTTTGTGGGTGTGGACCTGTATCCATCTATACACACACCCATTTTTTCCTTGCCTAGAGACGCCTGAAGCAGGTATGTTAGATACAAGCTGCCATGTTTCTACAAAAATACAGAGTTAGGGAATTAGGCTTAGAAATAAAAGGCAATTTGCCTACAATGGAACTATGGTTTCCAAGAGAGTAGTGAAGAGTAGGAAGTCCCAAGTGTGAGTGCACCCTGAATAGCTGTGAGAGTTTTGATGAGCAAGCCATGTGTCCCTTTGTGGAAGACAAGAATGAAGTATAAGTTAGGAAAACAACTAAGGAAGCCTCCCAAACTGAGTTTATCACTTATACCCTCAATTGCCATGCTTCTCAAATTCCTTGCTTTGATAGTAAAACCGCTGTTGACTCCATGTTCTAGGCAGAAGTCTTAGA